CATTTAGATCTTTTCCTTTATTGACGTCACTTTACAGGGCTTATATGCATGAATTCAAAACGTCTTCCTCTTAAGTACCTTTAATTTGACTTATTATGAAAAAAGGCTAAATATAACTATTGAAAGAATTTGATAATTGAATAAAGGAGAAAAAAACCTCCGGAAATAATAGTCAGATGATATACGTATAATAATATCGTTAGAAAGCTGAGAATTTTAGAAAAAATAATATCTAATAACTAAATTTGTAGAAGGTAACGGAGATTCTTAAAAATAATATAAATAATAATTTCTGAAAACTAATATTATTTAACGTAAATCACATGTTTTCAAGGAAATTATCTTACTAAATCCACGGAATCAAGGCAATGGCATTATTTAAGATACTATTTCATTGTGTGAAAGAAGAAGTGAAATACAAAAATATTTCATGGATATGTTTATAACTTTGAATATATTTACTGTAGTTTAATAACTGCAGATCTAATATTATATTTGAATGATTAGGTATCTATCACCCGTTTATTTCTAAAAATCAATATGTAATCAATTAGAAAATTAAATAAGTGAATAATTTGATGAATTTTCCCTTTATGATATTCCTACAGTATCCACTTACAATTAGTGTCACAACTTTTGACCTATCTATGACAGGCAATTCAAATATCATAATTCCATTTTAGTAAACTTCGCAATGGAAAATAATGGTTTAATAACTAATAGTCGTACAATCCATAATCAACCGGTGATATAATAATTTGGATTTTTGTTATTTTAATGATTTGTTAGCTGAAAGCTTTAAGATTTAGCTCGGTTAAAAATGTACTTCAAAAATTTTATAATAGCGCAATATTACCAGAAAATGATTTCTATTCAAAGTATAGCGGTGAATGAAAGTTGTGTGTTGCGCGCAATAGATTTTTCTTTTAATACATTCAAATCATTTAATTAATGTGACAGTCTATATGTATATCAACATACAAGTTTTTACTCATATGAATTTAGAAAAAATATAAATGAAACCGTTTGAAAGGATAAGAATCTATTCAGGAAGCGTAGGATTTTATGTGCTATATATAAAGTTAACCGAGCTGTATTTGATAAATCAGACAATACACTCCCCTTGCTTTATGAGGAAGTCGACTCCAATATTCCCCTCAAATATTCCTTATTCCTCAGTTGTCTCTCCCGTCCCGTCCCTCTATCCCTTCTGTTTCCAACATTTCATTTACAGTCTTCAGTATTTTTTTCTTTTCTAATATCTCTACTTTATATACCAGCTGTTTTTAATGCGCTTTAAAATTAAAAGTTCGGTGTCACTTCCTTTTTTTTTAATTTTTGTTAAATAAATATAAAACATATTTCACCATTATTCGGGGTTGACCTTTATTATTTTCGCACTTATTTATTTGCCTTATGGCCTGTTCAAAATAATTAAATTAGTTTTTGATCGTTATTTATTGGACATTTCGTAGAATTTTCGTCCTCTTCTGCTATATTTTATTCCTCCGAGAAATTGGGTAAGTCAAAGTACTTTAATAAGATTGGTTACATGGTACTAGGTTTTTATACAAGTTTAAGGGATTCTGTTAGGTTCACTCAATAAATACACCATTTGATATATACAATTTAATTTTTTGAGAAACAATACAAAAACTATGAGTAATAAAGTTTAAAGAAAAATACAATAGAAAAATAACGTTATACAAAAATGATAAAATGCAACTGGAGAAAAATTAATTAAAGAATGAAGGGGGAAAAAAAGGTAAAGTTTTATAAAGAAAAATACTAAAATAAAATTATACTTGCCAATTAACAAAAACTTAAAAGAATTACAACTCCAGCACAGATAATATAACACTGCGGGGGCCCAGACAATTGTTATGGCACTAGGTAAAAATTGCACATTTTTCACGTTACTGAGTAAACTGCATTTTTTTCTATCAATCTAAACTGTCTCTTTTTTTATATCATCTGTTTTTTAAAACAATTGAGGTCTTATCCCCATTGATGCCACTTTACAGAGCTTAAATGCTTACATGTTTAACATGTCTCCTTCTAAAGCACCTTTAATTTGGTTTATTTCAAATAATCAACTACCTTTCATTATTAACATTTATGAAAAAATGGTAAATATAAATTTTGAAAGAATTAGATAATTGAAAAATGAATAAAAAAAGTAAAATATTTATTTAGGCCGAAAATGAATTTCCAGAAATACTAGTCAGAAGGTAAACGTATAATATATCGTTAGAAGGTGGATAATATTAGAAAAAAATAACATCTAATATAGAAAGTAATGGAGAGTGATGAAAAATTATAAATAATAATTTGTGAAAATTAATATTATTCAACGGAAATCAAATATCTTCAAGGAAATGAAATAAAATTTATCAACTAAATTTAAACTTTTTTAAATCTGAAAACAAGTATTTAATATCCACTTAATCAAGGCAGTACCATTTAACTAAAAACTATTTCATAGTACTTATGTGAATGAAGAAGTGAAATATACAAATACTTCATGGATGTATAAAGCATATGTTTATAACCTTGAATATATTTACTGTAGTTTTGTTGAGGAAATGATTAATCCTCTTTAGTGACTTGCTATAAAACATAGGTTGTATTGCTTTCTTTGGGCACCAGTCCCACATTGTTCATATTGTATTGAGTGTTAGAAAATAAAATGTTTTTTTTTTGTGAAAATGTTATTTAAGCTTAAAATTAACAAGTTTAATAACTCTATATCTGATATTTTATTTAAATAATTAGTTATCGACGTCCGTATATTTCTAAAAATCGTAATGTAACCTTTTAAAAAACTAAATTAGAGAATAATTTGATGAATTTTCCATTTATGAAATCCACACTATATCCGCTGATAATTATGAAAAAAACTTTCGACCTGTCTTAGGCAGGCAATGAAAATCTCGTAATTTCTTTGTAGTAAACTTTACAATGGAAAATAACATTTTAATAACTAATAGGCGTACAATCCATAATCATTTATAGGTTGAATATAGAGATATACTTTCAAATCTCTCTAGGTATATATATATTGGACAGAGAGTGGATTAATGTGATTTGCGGAAACAAATGGAGTACTGATGTTTTTATTGTCTATCGTTGATAAAAGATAAAGGGTATTGTAAAGGTGATAATGATATGTTACCTATAAACATTAAGCTATTGTTCCATTAAAAGTGCGCTTCAAAAATTTTATAATTGCTCAGCATTGCCAGAAAATAATTTCTATTAAAAGTAGAAAGGTAAATGAAAGTTGTGCTTTGCCCGCACCAGATTTTTTCTTTAGTTGTTTCAATATTTTTAATCTTTTAGGCGATCTCTTTGTATGGTTCTGGACAGATCGCGTTCTGTCTGCCTGGTCCTTTTTAGTTAGCTAGTAAGAGGAATAATGTACGTAAATCATATCTAGGATTTTGTTATTATGAAGCTATTGCTAAGATCCAATGAAATTTAATTACTCGATTCGATCAATACATAATAATGAAACTCATCAATTATTTATTATTTTTTTTACAATAGTACTACCAACACATTCTCCAGTTTCTACAAATTGACCTCCTAGGTAGGACTAGACCTTCTCCAACAGACCGGATGTCTATATGAGACCGAATTTAATCAAGACCTAGAGTTAACTTGATCCTTCAGGTGTTTCCTTTGACCTAATAAAGGAAGAATTTCCACAGCTTTCTTCCCAACTTAATTCAAAGCAATCGAGGAAAGGAACGCTTAAGTGAGTGTAAGTATTCAACAGTTGGAGATAAATTGTTTTTATATAGAATAAGAAATTTTGGAACGATGCAATCTTGATTTTTGTTTAAAATAAACTTTGATAATATATTTTTCTGTAATAAGTGCTAAAAAAAACAAAAGAAATATATGTCTTCAATACACTTACAAAAGAGGTTACTTGCTTCTTATATGTTTATGAATTAAAAAAAAGCAAGGTCAAATAAAAAAATAATAATTTTAAATGTAATATAATTAAATTAGGGAGACAAAGTCAAATATTTACAAAACCTGAATTTCAAGTCTTATTGCAGCTCCAGTTATTTACTGTTGCTTTTTCAGTCAGGCCTTTTTTTTTTTATTAGCCCCATCCATCCCTCAACCAAACATCATAACTCAATTAGCGAACAGAAACCTCAAATTCCGTTATTTTCCTAAAAAATATTTTAGGATTCCAGGGTTGGTATCGGAGCCGCAGAGCCTAATTATAACGTAATCTGTTTTTTTTTTTTAGAGACTACTGCATTCGCGTGCAGTTGATTTTTTTCCAATACCGCCACGAAGACAGAAGAACTTGGGTGGTGATTAATCCTGTAGGGAAAATCTACTGCAGGAATTATGTTGAACTATAATATGAGCTTTCCAGTTAACAGAATGACTAACTTCAATTTCAACATTTTTTATTATCAATTTTGGTGATATTTCTAGTGGGAAAATTTATACATTTATTCATAGTTTTATATTTCAACACTGCATTCAACTACTCTGGAATCAACTTACTCACTGTCTGTAAAGATATTATAACTTTTTCCAATAGAAACATCAGTAAAACTGCATTAATGGAGTTAGCTATTCTGTCAACAGAAAGGCTCATACATATAACCGGTTTATCAAATTCAAGATTTCAAAGGACTGTAAATATTTTAATCCTATTCAATACTTATAAAAAATCTATTTAATACATTAGAGCATTCTCTATGCCTATTTGATCCCAATCGACTTTTTCAAAAAAAGCCTTAGTTTAGTTATTTGTTTCAAAAAAGAAACTTGACTAACTAAAGAAAAATTATCCTTCATTCTCATGAAACAGTTGTCTAGGGCAATGATACGTACTATCAATATTTATCATATTAAAATGTCGATTTTCAACTATTTTATCTGGGGTAAAAATAATTTCTAACTGTTAATAATAATAACTTTAAAATAATAACTGTTAAAAATGACCTTTTACTTTTGTTACTCACCAGCAATCGTGGCTCCATGCAGGACTAGCAATGTGGCCCAGAGAACCATCACTAGAGGACATGGACCCCCAGCCCTCTCTCCTTAGAGCCCATCTAAAATAAAAATATAAAAATGTTTATAATATAAAATTATATTGTTAACCAATGAATTTTGTAATAGTCATAGAACAGGATTAAGTATGGTTTAATGTGCGAAAAAATTATTCTAGAAAGAAATTTAATTATTCAATATAAACTGGACAGAAATGCTTACCCTCCAGTTTATATTACTTATAGCCAAAGTTCTCAAACGGACACGTATTTGCTTGGACTTACCTTCGATAATGACATAGGGCCCTCTTACTGAAATGAAAGACCTTTAACCAACGACCCAAACTACTTTACCAATTTTATTCCAAATATATGAAATTGAATATATATATAAACATACTTGAACCCATGAGAACATACTTATTACAGATATACGGTATCGCCAAAAAGACTAGCCTATAAAATCTTTAAACTTTCCAATGAGAATTGTTAGGACCTAAAATGTGGTAACAAAACTCTACAAATATGACCTTCACCTGCCAACAGTTGATCAACATTTAATGACCACTAATATAAAAACAGAAATAACAACAGTTTAGTAAGACATATGGCTATAAATATATATACATATACTTATGAATATGGGGAGGCTAAAAAGGTATGAGGTTAAGGATAAGAAGGTAAAAGGTCGCCATTAGATACACTGATACTGTTCTTTCCCATGACGGCCATGTTATGTTAACGTTTATAGTCAGATCATTTGCTGATTATCAACATACTACAGTTGATATATACAAATAAATATATAAAAAATATTTAAAAAAATTATATTCAATATTTTATGAGCTTAACATCTCCTCGCCTAACAGTCCTCCCCTTCCTCGCCGTTAAGGCTATACGGGGTTTTCCGCCTTGGCACCGGAACGCGAACTCATGACTATTTTTGTATCATTTAATCATATATCAGGTTGCCGGGCAACGGTGGTGATGTGCACAATGCGTTAACCCATTCGGCCACCCCGCCCATTATCTTATATTTTTATTGTTTCTTATCACTTTTTTCCTGATAAGTTTTATTTCCTAATATTTTTCCTCTATTCTATTTTTTAAACTATACTAGGGAGTACACCACTGTCCGTCTATCGGCGGACCAACCCCCATTTTACAAATTATACAACTGTTCATTTAATTGGACTAGTCGTTGCTCAAATCGTATAACTATAATTTACATGTATTCTATAATTCAGATTGTATTATTTTTTATCTACTTAAATACATTTTTTATCAACATAAAACAATTTTTTTATAATACATAAAAAAACCTTTCCGTTAACATTTTTTAATCTAATATCTTAATTTTGTATTAGGAGAGTAAGAGGTAACAGGAGCTCAACACATATGTAATGTAATGATTTATATTAAATGAACATATAAATCATAAATATGTTATTTGTAAAATAATCGCCGAGCTTCTGTTATCTCCTATTGTCCTAATACTAAAATAAAATAAAATATGAAAGCCAGTAACTTTTTTTTTTTTATATAATAGAGAGATATTTAGTAATTCCATTGCAAATACAGCATACTAAGATTAAAAAGTAAGGAATTAGATATAGAAAAAAAAAAAATTGAAACTTGATTTAAATTCGTAAAATAATGGCGATACAGTTTATGTTATATTGTCTCTATGTAACGCTAATGAGCCGTCTAATAATTTATGTTAACAATTTTAGTTAGTATTCGTAATTTCTGAGTTATATAAAAAAAGTTTTGTATAATGAATATTATAAAAGAGGGTTCTAAAAATAAACATAATAATTTATAAATACATTAAATTATTTTCCATATGCAATACTGAATTTTTTAAGGATAGTAACTTTGAAAAAAAAGTTTGAATAAAATTAATAAGGTAGTAATATGACGAATTGAACTGATTAAACTAAATGACATTACATTAAGAATATTTTGATGAACCTTATATGCATAACCGAAATCATGAATCATCAAACAACCTTTGAAGGTTCAGAACCTTCCAGTCTCACCAAAGGAATCCACTGACGCAGAAACATATCGCGCAATCGGCCGTTACAGATCTTCTGACTCCTCCAGCTCTAGCAATCTAGTGGGACAAAAGTCAAAATATCTACGGCGAATATTTTTTTAAAAACTAGATAAAACGTCTATTTATAAATCTGTTTACTTAGAAAAGTAAGAATTTGTTGAAACAATAACAAACAGTGTGAGTAAACATGATAGTAAATATTAAGAGTTGAGAGCCATTATTTAAAATATATTTTACTCATTTGATTGCCAGTGTGAACAACTAATACTAGTCCGTGGTATCAAATCATTCATCCGCCTGAAACTTCGTAGTAGCTTCATCTCATCGTAGCCTACAACTATTTTATTTACGAAAACTCTTATAATTGGGACGTTTTCAATCTGGAGATCGGCAAACTTAGACTATTTATTTAGTTACTAAAAACTCATAATTCCCATTTGCCTTTCACTTGAATCATAAGATAATTTGATTAAAAAATCGATAAAAAAGTTGTCCTACAAAAATATTTGGCCGTTTGGTATATATCCTCATTTTTTTGACATTTTGGAGGTGTAGGTCACGCATTTCGGCTCAATATTTTTGGAGGCCATCTTTTTTCTCGATTTTTTGATCAAATTATCTTAGGATCCAATTGGAAAGCTAATTGATTATTTACGAGTTTTTAGTACCTAATTAAATAGACAAAGTTTGCCGATCTCCAGATTGAATATTCCTAAATAAAATATTTGTAGGTTACGATGAGATGAAGTTTCAGGGGAATGTTAATAATTTGATAAAAGGGGGTTTATATCACGGACTATAAATTTTTTATCTTATTGAAATAAATTTTTGTTCTCAAAATTATGGATATGAACTGTGGAGAAAAGCCTTTCTGGAATTTTTTATGTGAATTCAGTAATAGTTGAGGTGTGCCAAGATAAAACAGTATTTCATGAATTTTTAAACCTGGATTTAATATATATATAGCAAGCATCTTAGCCCGTGCGGTCACCCCGGCCCTTATATATATATATATATATATATATATATATATATAAGAGCCGGGGTGACGGCACGGGCTAAGGCGCTTGCTATGGGTAATCAAAGTTAAGCAACGTCGAGTGTGGTCAGTACTTGGATGGGTGACCGCCCGCCACGGAAAGACACGCTGCCCGAAATTCCACCCCTCCTTCCCTCTGGTATGTGAGACCCGCCAGACTACCGCAGGCAACTCACGCCGCAGGAAGGTGAGTGACCTTGTGTTAGACAGATATAGCTGGTCCTCCAGGTTGGGGGTTGGGCATAGGGCTAATAACCCTATCCCGTCAAAAACACCATATTAAGAAACCTAAAACTAGCCTCAGAAAATCTGACTGTCTTAACTTGCTAACGACTCCGGCTTTGTATAACGGACTCTATATCGGATCATAGAATGTTCGGAGCTTATACAGACCAGGAGCCGCCAAAACGGTAGTTAATGAACTAAAACGGTACAACATACCGTTAACAGCCATTCAAGAGGTAAGGTGGCCAGATGTTGGGAAATAAGACGGCTACACACTGTTCTACACCGGAAGAAACGAGGATTTATAGTTAATCCGGCCGCAAGGAAGTCAGTAATAAACTTCACCCCAGTCAATGAAACGATAAGTGTGCTGCGCGTAAGAGGTCGTTGGTTTAATAATACGATCATTAACGTGTATGCACCAACCGAAGAAAAAGAGGATGAGGCGAAGGGCTATTTCTAGGACCAGTTAGAAAAACGTGGACCAGGCTCCAAAATATGACATAAAATTAATCATGGGAGACTTCAATGCCAAGATAAGTCGAGGAACCTAATTTAAGCCCATCGTCAGGTCATATGCCGATGATATAGTTGTCCTCGGAAGTAATCAAGAGGATATTGAGAGACTCGCTCGGACTCTATTCAAAGAAGCAGAACAAATCGGACTACAGGTCAATCTAGATAAAACAAAATACACGATAGTTAGCCGAAACCCTAATAGTATGATCTGCGTGGATTCTAAGTCATTCCCGAAAGTAGACAGATTCAAATACCTCGGCTCCACAATAACTTCAATAAATGATCAACTAACAGAGATAGACCAGCGAATAACAAGTGCCAACAGATCTTTCTTCTCTCTTTCAAAGGTACTGAAATCCAGAAAAAAAATCCAGAAATCTCAAAATAAGGGTGTACAACGCCGTGATTAAGCCAGTTCCGCTGTACGGTTGTGAAACCTGGGCTCTAACAGGTACATTAGAATTGAAAGATTCGAAAGAAAAGTTCTACGTAGGATAACAGGACCTATATAGAACCAGAACCTTAACACATGGAGGAGAAGTAACAATAAAGAACTGTTGAAAGAAACGGGTCAGTCAATATCTCATGACATGAAGGCAAGGAGGCTAAGATGGTCAGGGCATATAGCTCGTAGCAATTCATCAGGGTGGCTTTACACGACAATGAATGCCAGAGTAGTAGGCAAGAGACCATATGGGGGGCCAAAAACCAGATGGATAGATAGGATAAACAGCCGAGCTTTATGCCACAAACTGGAAAGCAGTAGCCCAAGATAGGCAAAGATGGAGAAGGCTGGTTCAGGCGGCCAAAGATCTACAAGGTCTGTAGAGCCAACCGAAAATATATACATATTATATATATATATATATATATATATATATATATATATATATATGTATATATATTTTCTAGATGTGGTCTCCTTACAGGCGTATGATGCTTGCGGGAGCTTAGATAACCTGGAGGGGACCTCTCAACCTCACGTTGCTACGAACCATGGTTACCATGGTGCAGCGGCAGGCCACCCGTAGCTCCATAGCCGATCCCTTTGGGGCCAATCTAGCAGTGTCCTTCCCACCGACTCACTCGGGTTCAAGAACAGTGACAATCGGTCTATATTCATAGATTATGGCTGCTCGGAGTCAGCAGGCGCACGAGGACCTATATTTCTTTCCCCGAATCAGACCGTCTATGGGTCGAACCTCAGGGACGCTACTT